AGTATAATCTAAAAATTGTAATGCAGTAAAAAGAAATAAATACAATCATTACTGTCATTCTCCTTAGATCGCCACCCTTAACATTCTGTTGTGGCATCCCTGAGCCTCTTTTCTTATATAAATCAGCAAGTTCTTTAATATTGTCTCGAATAGATTCATCTATTTTAATTAATATTAAAATTATTATTATGATCTGTACTGAAAAATAACATTATTAAAAATAACATTATTATAAATTAGAACTAGGAAGTTTATTAGTGACAGATGGCAATTAATACTAAAATTACTAATTTCTGAAAGGTGAGCGAGAGACAGGGAGATTACAATATCATAACGTCAGATGTTTTTTAATAATGATAATAATAATAAAACATACCACGAACAGCAGGAGATGGGGACTTTACGGCCATCAGAGATGAAGAAGCGGTAGATGGTGTTGGAGAAAGAGGATTCTCAGAACTTCTCTCCATTCTCTGTGGTTGCCAGTAATGATGATGATAATAATAATAATAATAATAATAATAATACAATTATACACTTACATTTCTTTGATGCCACAAACGTAATAATAGAGCGTGCTGACCAATTTTGATTTTGCTACGAAGAACAGTAAAGTGCTCCTCTTCAAGGGAGGCGAAGACATCAAAGTTCAATATATGTTCTTCTTTTAAGATATCACTAGTGACAGTAGTGATACCGGCACCTTTCAAAGACGTCAAAAAATCCTGTTCCATCCGCCTTTTCGCTTTTGAATTTGCAGTTTTGCACACTGGAGTAAACACTAAACAGACAGCTATTTACAATTTTGACAGATGGTTATGCACGTGCCAAACTGCCAATTAGCCACACCTTAATGTCACGTGTAGGTTCACGTGACTTTGTATTCACACCCATGTTCAGCTGCCCAAGTGCAACGTGCACGTGCAAAGAAAATACGAAAACGTAAGTGAACGGAAATGTCGCGATCGGCTTCCGTAGATAACAGCTCCTGAAAGGCATTCACTACAGTACTTGCTTGAGTTTGTCAAGACATATTCGTAATGTGTACCCCATGCCATGCATTGTGATGTGTAAGTTCCAATAGTATTTTTTTTTCTTATTAACTTGTTTTAGTTTTAGCCCCAAGTCTGAGCATAATATTGGAGGGTTTGAGGTTCACATTTTCCAGAAGATTCCACAGCCACTTTTTGATTCTTGCTCATCAAGCTACCATAGCCGGAGTCCAATTAGAGCCAGGAGTAGTACAAAACGCAGTGTCCCTGAGGTTGATTATGAAGAGCTTGAATCTTCTTGAGATAAGACAGATGAGAGATTGGACACGGATGAAGATGATGGTAAGATGTGAATGAATAATTCCATGAGTCTGCATATCTTTCTGCTTCAGTATGCTATCCCGTATCTACTCACTATTTAATGTCTCACGCTAGCCCTTAGCTATAATTAACCGTTTAATGTCTCGCACTTGCTATTAGCTATAATTCACTGTTTAATGTCTCACACTAGCCATTAGCTATAAATCACTATTTAATGTCTCACACTAGCCATTCGCGCCTTACTATTTATTGTCTCACACGAGCCCTTAGCTACTCACTATTTTGTCTCACAATAGCACTAAGCTACTCACTATTTAACGTCTCACAATAGGCATTAGCTACTCACTATTTAATGTGTCACACTTGCCTTAGCTACTCAGTATTTTATGTCTCACACTAAATAATCACCCTACTCTCTGAACATGCTCTTTCCACATTCTAGAACATTCTACTGTATGATATGCAGTGTAAGTTAGATTTGCCACTTTAAAAAAGCATAATGTTTATGGAACAATATGGCTATAGCAACCTTAGCTATGTGACAATTCTAACCAAGCAAATTGTAATTTTGTTGTGGCAAGGGTACACACTCACAATACTAATATGATATTCCCTATAATTACTTCAATCTTTTTTTAGGATTGCTTTTTTCCTTTTCATATATATAGTCAGGCCAGCTATTGTACCATGTACACAGGACCAGATACTCCTTGTTGTGAGTTGGTTATCCCTATGTTTATTTATCCTTGTTCTTCCTTTAGGGTGTTCGGATGTTGTCTTAATGAACTGCCGCATGTTCACCATTGATAAAGAGAGGTATGTTTTTTCTACTTACTTATTTTTGTCTTTAGGATTAAGTCATGAAAGAATACCCATCAACAATACCTCAACGAAGTGATGTGGGTGAGTTACTATTCTATATGCTGGGTCTAATGATACAAAACATATCTGATCATAATCAGTATCAATTGGGATTATTTATTGAAGGAAATCAAGTAAACTATGGTAATGTATGTGTATGTCATGGAATTACTTTTTCTATGCTATAGATCTGCTAGTGTATCTGTTGGGAGCAAGGAAGTGGTGAAGGACTCTAAGGTTTCACTGTTTATTAATTTATTAGATGTCAACTAGCTAAAAATGATGTGACAGCATATTGTCTGTCATGAACATCATTTTGGAGAACAAATATAATAATTTTGCTTATCTGCTAGCTTATTATAGCCATACCTACATGTATGTTGCTTTAATGAAAGAAAAATAATTGTTTTTTAACTGTTTCAGATATTGTTGCGCTTTACTTCTTAGATGCCTATTGTATTATATAACTTGACCTATACATTGCCATACTATAAACAGACAGTTTCACCACCTATAGAATTACTTCACTTATATATGCAAAACTAGTTAACCAACAAGTCAGTGTTGAATATTGCTGGAACCTGTTAACATGCAAGGGTTGAACAAATTAGTACATGTCACAGTACATCTCTAGGTTATATCTAATATTAGAGACCCCATGTAGCACCATGTTGATGTAATACAGTATATTGCTGCCCCACCTTGAAAAAGAAATGAACATGTGAAAATTATGTGACTATGGTTATTTACCTCTAAAGCTGAAGTAATGTCATCGCCGGTATTGTTTGAGATATACTGAAATAAATTAATTCCTACAATATTACAATTATAAAGTGACTAAGAAAGTGTTAACACTATGCAATATTTAAGTCAACCAATTCATAGTGATTTCTTCCATGTGTATGAAATAGGTATACATTAAACTAGGATAAGTAATGACAGCTTTCATTATGAAACAATGATTTAAATGTATACCAAGAACAGGCTTTCTCTTGTGTTGACAGTATTGAACATAAATCTTTAATCAAAATACAGTTGCAGCAATAAATGTCTCATTCTCACTAGCCCATGTACCAAATTGGCTTAATTTTTAATGCAATAAATGTACCCTCATTGCATTTGCTGCATTTTAACTAGTAATATTGGGCACGAGTAGCAAAACTAAATTTGATAATTCTAAGGCATTGTTTGTCATAAAAGTACAAATAGTTGATGTAATTAGCATATGATTTCTTTCAGTCCCAATTACAGCTTTAGAAATTGCTCATTAAAAACAGTTACCATTACCTTTTATTTTATGACAGATACAAGGAGATATTTCAGCATGTTTAATACTTTTAAGTGGACCAGCACCTGCACTAACAGTCTCCAGAGTATAATCCCATATCAATAAAGCAGCAAAATTCATTGGAAGGTGTTTTGCCTATTGCTAGAGGCATCGTATCTTCAGATTTACTATACTCAACATCAGGAGACTTTTCTCGGTTTCTAGGATTCAGTAGTCATGATTGCTGGTGCAAAAATTTTTCAATACTGCAAGTTAATTTAACACTACGGACTATAAACTCTTGCAAATCACAATCAATACCATAGCTATTCAAAATGATACTATCATTACCATCAGAACTAGAAAATAAGCTATCATCATCATCATCATCAGAGGCGTATTTAGGGGGGGGCTGAGGGGGCTTGAGCACCCCCCTCAGGACTGGGCTCAGAAAAAATTACTGAACTCCTGGACTCTTGCATCACTACCAAGCCTCTTAACAAAGTTATCTAGCCCCCTTATCATGATTTCAGCAGTTTCCAGTGCTTTAAGGAGCAATCAGAAGTACCAGTAACATATCAGTTTGCTTAAAATGATCTTGGTCCCACCCGTAATTGACGAAAATGCAGGAAAAGGCCGTTTTACCGCCGTAAAAGTGGGTGTGGCCAAAATCGCGGCGCGCTTCGCGCACCCTCACCACCCCCCTTCCCCAATTCCTAGATACGCCCCTGATCATCATCACAATCATCAAGTATTAATTTGCCCTGATCAATTACCTTATCATTTGTTATGCACAGACCCTGTAGCTAATAAGCCACACTTACTACCTAAACCTTGATCAAAATTAGTTATACTTAATTTACCTCTTTTTGTATTACTAATTGTTTTTGAACCTCGTTTTGATTTTCTTCTACGAGATGATTTGAATGTTTCCTTACATTATCTGTGACATGTCTTATGTTGCTAAACCCATAATTTGTGTGCAACTTGTTCAGATTCCCTATGCCTTTTCCTTGCTCTTCTTCTCTTACATTTACATCATGCTGCTTGACTCTTACAAGAGACTTAAACCTAGAAACATTTAATGTCTTAAATGCTTCAGCCATACGATCAAATCTGGGTAAGCTCATTCTATCAAAAAGATCAAGTAATCAATGGTAAGCTGGCCCTTTGTGTACATATATCCAGGACAAGTTACTTTGTATAAGCCTAAGTGAAGTGGAAACATAGTAGTGAAGCATTTGTAGATTTAAATTCTTTGTTCTAACTGCAGCAATACGTTATGAGATGATTCAATTATACTAGTGTGGCAACAACCTAGTTAGTCATGACTAATTTTTTTTGATTTAGCAATAGTAGCTTCACATGCAATTTCATATACAAA